TCTCCGTTCATTCTTGCAATACTCACTGACCCAATAACGATAAAGCTGACAACGGCTGCTGATGTCTCTCATTGCCCAGACATTTTTTTATTCTTTGGGCATCCCTTTCTGTCATTCTGTCTGATTTCCTCAGGTTGTGCAGGAACATTTTTCTCATACGCTTCTTTTGATGAGGTTGCATCTGCCATCCGCCTTCTAGAGGCTGAGCCGCGGCCAATTGTTCGATATCAAGGACAAGGTGGTTTTCCTGGGGGTCCTCTTCGAAGAGGAACATGTCTTCATCGTCATCGTCCAGGACGCGCTGATCAGCTATGGCATCTGCTTCTTCGGCAACTTCAATCTCTTCTTCCTCTTGCTCCTCTTCCTCTGGCTCCTCAGGTTCGTTTTCTTCCCCCATAAACGCTGCCATGCCAACCTCTTGTGCTGTTGCCACCCGGAAGTGTCCTGAAAGACCCAATCACTCCAGTATGCAAGGTGTAGGCCTGTGGAAACCTGTATTCACAAACTCAACTGTGAGAGTTGCATAATGCTCTTTTGACATGAACGGCTGCAGATAGTCCTCATTGATGATGCCGTTCATGCTTCTTTCTACTTTTCGCTGAGAAACCTCCATGCACTGACGAAGAGAGTACATTTCTCTCAAGATGTTGCTTGTTCGGATATGAACTGTACGCTGAACATCCCTTCTACGTCTCTGTTCTCTCTTCAAGAAGTTGAGGTTTTTGTTCTTCATATCCTCACTGTTACTCCTACCTCCAACACGGACGATATTTTGATTGAACTTCATGATCCCCTCAAGGAACTGATCAAGGGCATGGTTGGTGTAACAGACCACAAGGATGGGGTTAGATTCTTCATCTTCATTCCATACATTACTGTTGTGTAGGAGAGCCTTACCGATTTTGAGACCTATGTAGGTTTTACTAGTTCCAGGCGGTCCTTGGATGACCGCTAATTCTTGCGTCAGGGCAGCCTTGACAGTTCGAAGCTGAGAATCATCCTAGTGCAAGGTTTCTGCTTGTGGCCAAGTAGATGGAGTTAAGACTTGCACAGCACTGGCCTTAGTGCTAACTCTTCTCACTATGACGGTTGCTCTCGTCATCCCTGTCAACTTCTTCTGCTGTGTGCGTGAGTGGCGACAGATCATAGGCAGAAAACCTACAATGGCGAATGTACTGAGGAGGCTTCACATCACAGGAGACTTCAGTGATGTAACGCTGCAGAGGAAGGCTGTTGCCTCGGACTTCTTGCAGGCCTTGCAAAACATGGCGGTAGGCTTCGAAGTAGGCGGACGATTCTGCCATGATGAACGAATCCGTGGAGTTTATTTCCGATACACTGGTCACGTCTTGGAACCGCAAATCGACTAAGCCTTGTTCAAGTTCCTCAGGCTTTTGGTTGGCTACAGTTGCAAATATGACAGACTGAAAGTCGTCCTTTGACAAGCAAACCAAAGAACCGAAAGTCAGCCTGTTGGTGGCTTGCCATCTGACCTTTCTGAACTTGGTGACATCAAAGCTTATACGGTGAGTGATGCCGTCATTGGTGCAAAGAGGAAATTGAACCCGTACATCGTGGTAAATACGAATGTCTTCCAATTTGGCCTGGGCAACGGACACGTACTCCACGATGCCTTGTTGCAGTGGTTCCAGAAAGTCTTGTCTCAGAAGGCAAAACTGGACGTCCAAATAATGGTTGAGGTCTCGATACTTTCCATGTACCACGTTGGCTCGGAGGTAGGCCTCGGTGTTCGTGGTGATTTCAGCTACATCTGGGAAAATAGGAATCTCTCTGAAGTCATTTGGTGGAGGAGCTTCCTGGTCTGTCCTCTGCCGCTGGCTTTTGTGCTTCTCCTTTTTCTCTCCTGACAACAGAGAAGCAACTGGTTCAATAAAACCTTGGATTCACTCTCGAGTGGGTATCCTTTTGTCTCTAACGTTCTAGTGACAACATCCATTAGGGTGAGGACAACGTGGACATCCTTCATGGTGTTTTGAATTCTTTGGATGAGTGTCTGCATCAGCTTCAAGATCGAAGCAATCTGATTAGGGACCCTTCTCAGATACCGTTCGTCAAACTCTGTCACCATACTGTTAATGTGTTGGCTCAGATTCTTACTCAAAAAGTCCGTGTCGACAACGACAATCAAAACTCTGACCACAGACTGCGGTGAGTCTTCACGGTCACAGACTCTGCCCAAAACTCGAACCAGGAGGGCAGTCATGTCACGCCGGATGTCACGCTTGCTCAGCAGGCTTTCTAAACCTTTACCGAAAGAGGTCAACTATTGGACAACCTCGGCGGCGCATTTTTCTTCATCCAGCAGTGACTCTAGCATCTTGTAACCCGGCTGTCTAACGGGGCATTTCCTCTGCTGCTCTCCGCCATCTGGGTGATGCTGACCAGCATTTCTGAAACAAAACACAACACGGATGAAAATTTGTATAAACTCCATGTACATTGATGAAGGTCAAGGCATGCACGGGAGTTTGAATTTAATGTTGAGATTCTAACCTGAAGTGACCACCCCCTCGTCCTCGTCCTTGTCCACGCCCACAGCCGTACCCACCACGACCTCGTTCTTGGCCATGCTGATTATCAACCCTCCTTTGATATCCTTGGTGCCTTTTTTGATTGTCTTCTCGGTGACGCCCCCTGGCAAGGGCACCGCCTTGGTGAGCTCCAAACTTGCGTTCCGGAAATGGATTATCCTCCATGATCACCTGCAGCCAAAGAAATAAAATAATAATCAATAATATGGCTTCAGTTTTTGGAAAACGTTTTTAATTGATTGTACTGAACAACAAGGCCGAAAGCTCAGGACTGGTCGATGGTCAGAGTTGTACTGCATCGACTTATTATTGCATGCTGCATTCTGCCTATGACGTCAACATTGCTGATATCTACTGCTCTATTGTACAAATTTACAGCAAAATATCATTGGCCTAATGAGAATAGGAGAAAAATTAAGCTAATTTTCTATCGAGGCACTGTATAAATGTCAGTTAAGAATTCGCCTCGAAAACTTAAAGCTTCGGGGAACTCAATTCCCCGAGGAATCAATCATTATGTTTGTAACACTGGATGGAGGTAGCCGACGATAAATGACCTCTCGACGGACAACGTGCCGGCTTTTGAAAACACAAACTCATGGAAAGATAAGACGAGGAAGTAGCACCCTCCTGGTGTGGCAGTTTGGTACATGTATTTCAATAAGGTAAGGTCATTCGGGAAACCAAGCACGAGCGGGTTTGTACGTCTATGGCACAAGTCCGCGTAGGGCCGCGCTGATTGTGCAGACCTCAAACGTGCGTCCAAATGACCTCAGATGCACTTAAGTTTGGGCATGCGCTGTTCGAATACCGAACTGGCTTATCAAAGAAGAAGAAAGCAATGAAAAAGATAATGCGAAGTCCCCGTCGTAAAATAGAAGGGGAAAAATGGTGGAAATTAAATTAAGAAGAGACATTAAATCAAATAAAATAAACTTGGTGTCTCCAGTGAGCACGCATGTTTTTCAGCGAACATACATAACCAAATAAACGCCCCAAATCTAAAACAAAATGTAAAAACATGAAACTGTCTCTCTTGAATTTGATTACCACACGATTTCAAAGCACTTGATAAAAGTCCACACATATCTTTTTAGAATCCTTTTTAGAAAACAAAAACAAAAAACTGACAAATTAATGCAATGTGCATTACGTAAAAATAAAAAAATTCATGTTTTAAAAAGTAGCCGCTTCTACATTTTAATTAACGAAGCTACAGTAGGCAACAATATGGTGCAAGTTGCGCCATAAGCATTAGGCATGGCTGCTTCAACAAATGAAACCTATACCTTCTTGCAACGGTTGAAAGGGGAGATACAGAAAAAATCATAAAGACCTTAATTTGTGTACAATTTATGTAATCCTTCATGAGTAACATTACATTTGTTAGCAAGGTGGTGTCATGATTTGTGTAACCTTTCCTGTAATTACATTGAACGTATATTTTCGCGAATTTGAATTACAGCAAATGAAAATAATACTTGATTCCGAAAAGTCACAGTAAAAGGCATATATTGGCAAGGAATACGTAAAAACCAAATTCCAATCACTTATTTGTATTCTCTTAAATGAAACGTAATGCGCATTGATTAATTTGACTGATGCAAAACGAAGTTGAATGCTTGTTATAGCGAAAATGAAACCAGATTGTAAGTCGTTTTCAAAATCTAAGCCAAATTGAATTTTTATTTTACAAATTAAATTGCGCATTTTCCGAAATTGGTTGGAAAACCTTTATTTTACAATTAACTTGGTGCATTAATGAGAAAGATAGAGAGCCTAAGTTGCCTTCTTCCAAAGAGCACACAATCATAACAAGTCACAATGACATCTAGGAAACTGGAAGCAGAAGTAAAAGATATTCTCTCACCCCCCCCCCAAAAAAGGCAGGGGGGACATGCTCTGTGTGCGCCCTCCGAGCCTTTGGAGTCATTCCCCTGAAGAAGGAAGGGGCCAAAACGTTTTTGTGATTTTTAATCGAGTTAATTTTATCCCTTCCAAATTAAAAGCAAGTACAGACCCTAACATGTACCCTCAACTACCTGGAGAAAGGCTGTAAAAGTACATGAGAAAATGTCAACTATTTGACCCGCAACAAAAAAATTGCCCCCTCAAAGTTAATGTGATCTAATAGCACCATGCGAAAATTCGACAGCCTTGTTCTATTAGTATGATCTAATTAGATGGTTTTGTGGTTTAATCCGAATCCTACCAAAACTGCTGAATCTGATCCGAAAACATTCGAATTTAAGAATGTATAGTCCATTTTACGAGTCATTACTTCAAACTCACGAAAATTGTATGACATTATGATAGACCTAGCTAAACGTGAATCGTCTCCAACGTTTTGATGGTAAACTGAGAGGTATTCGGGTCTACTTATTTACAATCTATTTTTGCAACCTAAGAGTTTATTGAACGGGCAAAAACACTGACAAAACCTTTTTGTGTAAGGTTACATGTACAAAAAGTTTCATACAAATTAACCTATTATATTCGCCTGAACTCACGCAATAAAATAGAAAATACTTGATTACTCAGCCCAGGGAATTATTTAGGAGTGGGGGTAGATCAATTAAAATAAATACTACACATTGTGACAATGCCTTGTCCAACGCCCTTCTTACAAATATATGAGGTGCATGTACATGCAAAAAAGCAAAAAGCATGACGTGATCGTTAGCTGAGGGAAATTTCAAATCTCCCTCGTAATGAAGACAAAAATGGAAAATCTTCAACTCAACTTTACCACTGCTAAGTAATCGCAAAATGAAACTTCAGTTCATGTATAATGGAAAGGTTTAAGCCAAGTCGGATTTTATAAAATTTTGTCGGACATGGGTAAAATCATCAATTAACAGTCGATATTTTAAACTCTCAATCCGAATCAGACCTTAATCAGACTGAACCATGTCCAACCCGATCCGATCTGATCCCGTCGGAGTCAGTTCCAGATCGGTTCAGATCAGAAGTGCACATCTTTATCGGGAAAATGTGCACTTCGAGGCAATTGTCTGCAATCTTTGCAATCTTTGGTCGTCCATACACATCAATAAGCAACGTTCGATTAATTAGTTTATTTTCCATTAATGTTCAACAAGAAAAAATCACCTCATTACATACGTATTACTATTAACTTGGATGTGGATCTCTTAAAAGTATCTCTACTGTCAACTAAGGGCCATGTACAGACATGTACACGACACGCATAAGACGAGACGGTAGTCAAGACTGAAATAACTGGAATATAATAGTGATTAAGATTAAGATCTAACGAATAAGACCTGTATATATAATAATATAACAATAATTTATTCTTAATAAAGCGTCTTACATTAAAAATCTTAAAGTGCTTAAAAAAATCCTATTCAATTCAATTCACAATCACATTAATCCATTTTCTACATTCACATAATTATTGAATTCAAATGACTAATTAATTAATCAATTTTATGCATTAAAAATAATATATCTTTAAAGGAAATGTTTTAAGTTGCTTCTTGAAACTTCCATAATCACCGGTGATATACTAGGAGTTTGTTCCACATCTCTGGTGCATACATAAAAAGGTACGATTACCATACACGCCTTAACATGCGAGTAGTTGGACGAACCTTAGAAAGACAAAGCTTTACTCCTTCACACCTTTTAGTGCAAATATTAGGCTGTACACAGATATCAAATCCGTAAGGTACTGTGGTGCTGACTCGCTCTGATAAATATGTTAGATAAATTCAACCCGCCCTTCAACCAGAAGCCACTGTAATTCCTGAAGAATGTGTGCCATATCTGCATCGCGATCCATCTTCAAGTTCACCTCGTGACCAGTCTGGCCGCAACATTCTGAATCTGTTGTATTTTTTTGTACTGATAATCATATAAACCCAAATATAAACTGCTACAATTAGTCCAACCTAGAAGTTACAAATGAATGTATAAGTTTCTCAGCACTTGACTGATCCAGATATTTATCAGTTTACTGATCTGCCATAGTGAGTGAGACTCAGCCTTATAACACACACTAGAAATATGAGCATTCATATAGTTCTAGTATCGTACCAAGGTCACGAACTATGTTTGACGCCGATATTCGAACATACCCAACCCGCACTTCGGTCACCACTTCCCATACACTTGAATCTTAAAACGTGACGAGTACCATAACACTTTAGTCTTACCATCATTCATTGCGAGCCTGTTTGCTTGCATCTAATAACGAATATCGTCTATGCAGGATTCAATACGTGCAACACAAGAATAGAGTCAGTACGGGAACAGTGGCGTAGCTAGGATTTTACTCATTGGTAGCAGAAGGGGGAACCAGTATTTTAAGGGGCACCAGCTTTCAGTGGTGTGTTTTTGGGGGGCAAGCTTTTGTTGGCCTTGTTCAATATCCATTCATCCGTTTTTTGTTTTTTTCTTTGGGGGGGGAACCTGTGGGGCACTGGGAATTTGTGGGGGGGGCGTACCCCCAGCCTCTCCCGGTATACCCCTGCGCGGGAATCACAAGATATGTAAACCTGACAATGATACGCATAAATAACAGAACAAACTGTGACGAGTTATAATGTCCTCCAGTGGATCCAAGTACAAACAAAACAAAACAGGCCCAAGCGCGGTTCCCTGAATGCCAAACTGGAGAGTCTGACTCTTGGACAACATTGACTCAATT